ATATAATTAAATTATAATTTGATGTGACGGCATAGGTAATTACATTATCATCCTTTCCGACGGACAAAGCATAGCTGATCTGAAAGATACACCATCCTACTTGCCATTATACATCATTTTCTGTGTTACAACCTAGATAAAGCCGGCGAGGAAAGGTATTACTCGTCAAACGAACACAATATTTTTATATAGCCTAGTTGGTCGAGTGGTCTAGGCCGCTGGATACAGTGCAGGTGGTGGTGCCACGATGTCACAGAAGCAGGGTTTCGAATCCCGCTGAGGGAAGAACAAAAAATTTGCTTACGCAAATTTGCAGATCTAATATTGTTGGGATAAATTTGAGACGAATTATATATATATATATACAACAGTTACGTGATTAATACTAGATTTTGTGAAATTATTTGCAACAAATATTAAAACGCAAATATTCTCTTGCAATAATGTTTACTAATTTTGAAAGCGTTTTTATTGATTACGACAGCATTTTTGTTTTGTTTTGTTATTTAATAGTTACTGATCTAAAGTACAAAATATTTGACCGATACCTGATCAGTGTAAGGAACAAAAATCATAGTGTGAATCAAATCGTCCATTAAGTTATTTCACCACTATAATCATAGAGTTTAATTTGTGAAATAGAATATGCCTAATTACCCATCAAATGTTTTAACGCTACATTTCATTTTTGTTAGATGTAAACAACAGAGAAATATATTACACAAACAAGGGGTATCCTATTCTGTATACAATACACATTTGTCAGTAAGGTCATCAAATGATGATCGGGTTGTAGTTGTTCAATCTCCTTCAAGCAAAATTGTTGGCCACCAGATACGGTTAAACTAATTTAATTATAACTTATCATATTTCGTAATGACCATTTAGGCCGAACAAATGTATTCTGATGTAAATGTTATGTAGCCACCTTTTTTTATAAAGATTTAGATATCTCCTTCTATTCGTAATTTCTAAATGTTGGTATTTCCCAAAGTATTGGAAGGTATGCTCAATAACATAGAAAATTTATATCAGTATTTTTTTTCCAGATCTTGAATTGTTGAATGATTGTTTGTTGTCTGATTAACGTCACAAGAGCTGGAAAACGTGAAGGAACATATAATCAATGTTGTGCCACAAGTGTCAAAGCTTCCTGCTTAGAATACGAACAACTGTCTGTTAAATAATTCAAATATCAATTGGGCTTTACAAAGGTGAGTTACCAGTTGCGTCGAAAGGGTAAGCATCTATATGCAACCGTGTCGGATTAACTTCAGTGAGATAAATACAATGTAGAACTCTCTGAAGAAAGTCATGAAAATAAACATATGAACTCTGAATGAAACTAATGTAAGACAAAAACCAGGCGCGGATCCAAACATTTTTAAAAGGGACGGGGAGGGGTTGATTCCAACCATATGTACCCATACACAAGCATTAGTTTTCAAACAAAAAAGGGGGTTTCTAACCCTAGAAACCCCGTGGATCCGCCACTGAAAACAGACAAGCATGTTACAATTCTAAAAAGCAAATCATTTCGGGGCACACAAAATCATCATCTTAGTCAACAAGACAGTCAACTAATCCCTACCAACAATTACCAATGCCATTTGGGGGGATAAGCAACACATGTCAACAAAAAACCAGGCGTAAACTAGTGTGCTTCTGTGCTGTTGAAGGTTAAGCAGTTCCTGTTCCACCAGTTGCACCTGTCATGTTTGTTTGAGCAAACTTGGAAATGAGTATATTGTCTTATAGGTATAAATATGGAGGTTTTATTTACAGTAATTTGAATAAAACTTCTTCTCATGCTCCCTTTAGAGTTGATGATATTTCCTCAGTTTTAATCGATTAATAAGATTCAATTAACATCGGTAAACTAATGTTGCCAGTATGGACACGATAGTTATACATGTATAATGCTAACAGGCGAATTCAACAGACGTATTAACAATGTATTAAAAGTGTACAAGAACCATAATTAAAATCATTTTTTTAAGTTTTGGTATATATTTGGGACAATTCCTTCATCAGTTTTCAACTTTTAAGATTAAATCGTCGTAAAATAATGCTTAATTCAATTTCAACATGTAAGATTTCAGTTTGGTTTTATGGCTATATTTAAGGTGAGACCCTTTTATAATTTGTTTAAATTTTTTTTTAAATGTAGCCTTACCATAATTTGTAAGTGAATTGTTTATATTATCATTCCTATCTAAGTGACGTCTAATTCAAGTATATGTAAAACGCCTTAAGGTTGTACACTATCCACAAAAATCATAAGGTTTTTCTCAGATAGCATTTCATACGACAAAACATTGTATTTATATATTGGTTACAATAATTAGTGAATTAGTACTAAAAGGGAAATATTTTATCTTTTCTTTCGTGGGATGTATTTCAATCGTTAAATGACACAAAATTACAAATAATATGTTTGCAAGACTATTCAAATGTTCATTCATATATCAAACATGGAATTTATTTTTATTTTCAAAATAGGTAAGAAAACTTCGTAATAACACATTTTACTCTTACTTCTTTGAACTTCGATGATATTTTTAAAAAATGAAAAATAATTGTATTTATGTCTTTCATTATTTGATATAGCACTTAAAAATAGGTAAGAATTGGGAATAAAAGTTTTTAATTAAAAAAAATATTCATAAAAATCATTTATATACTATTTATTCCTAGGAATAGCAGGTATAAACCATATAATCCATTTATTCATATGTGATAACTTCTTTTAAATAATTAATATTATATGTAATATCTATATCAACCGAATGAATTATCTATTTTATTTTATTTTATATTAATTTGTCTTTATTGTTGATACAAATTTGAATTCACCAGCGGGTGAAGATAATTGAAGCGAAAATTTGATAAGTTTCAACATTTCCTTCTATGTCGAAAGTTTGCCTCTATTAAAAAAAATAGCTGTTTTGTATACTGTTGTTTGTCTTTTGGTCGTTTTTCGTTTTTCTTTCCATGTCGTTGTCGGTTTGTCATCAACTTATGAGTTTGAAAATCCATTTGGTATCTTCCGCCGCTCTTTACGGGAGTTTGAATATCCATTTGGTATATTCCGCCGCTGCTTACGGGAGTTTGAATATCCATTTGGTATCTTCCGCCGCTGCTTACGGGAGTTTGAATATCCATTTGGTATCTTCCGCAGCTCTTTACGGGAGTTTGAATATCCATTTGGTATCTTCCGCCGCTCTTTACGGGTCATGTAATGCACGAAATGTCTTACACTGAATGACTCAAAGACGTCAAATAAACAATACCACGTCAGATGGCAATTAACTAATTTCTCCGACTTTTTAAACCTTTTAAACACTATCCTGGAAAATTCTAAAAATAGAGAAAAATTAATAGAGAAGGAATAGGTCTTTACGTGAACAAATAAGTTCTCTTCTTCTTCCGAATACGGGAGTAGACTCCTAGGTAGGAGTGTAAAACTTCCCGGAACTTGTGTGCTATGTACATATGGACTTAATTTAAAAATAATATGACAAAGAAAAATCATTAACAATAACATATATACATTATGTACAGTGGCTTTGTAGTTTAATAAGTTGTTGTGGATCCTTCAAATGTTAGAGTTGATATGCCACTTTTGAAGGATTCCAGGGTGTCAGACATACCTATTGCTTCAGGTAGTGAGTTCCAGTCCGAAATAGTGCGAGGATAAAAAGAAAATTTATAGAAATCTTTATTTGTTGATATTTGCCTAAATTTATGTTTCCCCCTAGTACGGCTATCAGATATTGTAAAATTGACCTTAGGAACTTCCACTAACCCCCAATTTATTTTATATAGCATAGTTAATCTAGCTTTTTTCCTTCTTATTTCTAAATTTTCCCATTCCAATGATTTAATTAAATTTGAAACTGCTCCAGGTGATCTGTCTTTATAATCATTGAAGACAAACCTGGCTGCCTTACGCTGTACCTGCTCAACCTGAGTGATGTGTTGCTTTTTGTACGGATCCCATACAGGGGAAGAGTATGGTTTAAACAATAATGAGAGAACCGTATGCTTTAATTATTTCAATAGATTATATGGTCATTTAATGGAGTTGCTAATCTCTTGTATTGTATTTCCATGCTATCACTTATCTCTTTACAATAACTCTGATACTGTGTATCATTCGCTTCATTCACTATCTGCCGGTCTGGTAATTACGACACCCGGATCTGGGCAAATAAATAAAGCTAGCGGAGCTGAAAATTATGCGGAGACACTGCGCAAAACATCATCCTAGAATTCAATACATGTGTAGGCTCAGATTTAATGAACTCTAGATAATTTGTACCTATCTTAATAATATATATTTAATCATTCACTCATTCAATTTCCGCTTTTTAAATATATTTTTATGCTGTTAAGATTGTTCATTTGTATGATTTCATCAAGATTGTCTGATTTCATACAAAAGAAAATTGTCCTTCGTTGAAATAATTGACAATTTTGGTTTGATATCAATTTTATTTTTCCTTTCAGTTGAAAAGTTGTAGATAATTTGTTTCACAATGTTCGCTTATTAAGCCAAATATTGTCGGACGGGAAGATAATATCTGAATTGAATTGAAGTAGGACAAAAGTTGCTGTCAATTCGGTGGCGAAACAATAGAGATCACCCGGCTTAGGTTACACGATGGCACTCTCCCCTCCCATGTCAACACCAAACAGTTGATTAAACTCCAACAAAAGCTTTGCCGCTAAAATAAATATTAAAAGGAAAACCATATATTTGATTAAGAAAATAAATTTTGAAAGAAAACTATTTTATTTTATTGTACTGCAATTTTTTTGTTTAAATAAAGTCGTTCTCGAATATAAATTTTATATTCTTTAATTCAAAGGAGTGGAAATTAAACATGAAAGAAAAAAAATATCAATGTTTTTGAGCATTGAAAAAGTAAAGTTTGATAAGACTTAATTCCTGGTGTTTAAATACGTTCTATTGACAGTTATTGGCTTTGTGAAGAAGTTGTTCATTTACATTTATCAAAGAGTGGTTGAATCTGGAATATTTCTTACATTTCAGCGACTATTTGAACGTTTGTAGAACAACTTTGGAATAAATAAACAGATGTGTCTATGGCTCATCCTTAGGAATTCAAACGTTACAGTAATCGTTTACAAGCGAACCGTTGCAGCCTTTCGCCAGTGTATTGGTATTTCGCCCACAGCCATGTCAACAACTATAACTTTTCTATATTGGATGACACTTCTTAAGGCACGGTGACAATAGTATCTCAACCGGATACCCTCATTGTAAACAATGCGTCACAGAAGTACCTTATTCGCAAGTAAGTTTTACGTAATATATATTTTTATTGTGATTTTATTTTCCATAACTGAATTAAGTTTTGTGCTTTTCGATTTCAAACAATTTATTCTTCAAGTCATATTTGTTAAAACTTAAAAACCATGACTGTTTTTTTCCAGCTTCAGCAATAAACTTTTCATTTATCTATTCAAAGTTAGTTTGCTTTGTGATACCTTATGCAAAGCGTAAAAGGTTTATTAAGTCCAATTCTTAACTATAACATTTTTTTGAAAATTAAACTAGTATCGTTGTTTTGTAAAAAACAAGGATTATTTAAAATGGTTATTATTGTATTTTCAATGCAAATAATAGAAACCAAGAACTTATTTGATAGATAAGAAAACTCTTTGCAGTCAAATATTTTGGTAAAAAAACTAAAAATTTTCCCATAATTGTCACAATGGCGTGTAAACATCAATACAACAAAAAGGCGTATACCCACTGATCAGTCATTTGTTTTTTTACTTTTATGTATGTTTCTTTTCATGAAAGGTACAACTTTAACCTTGATGAACCCTTATATCTGGTTTTATTGTTAAACTATTATAATTATTTAACACATCATTGACAAAATACGAAAATGAAAAATACATAAATATTATCATATTAGCATTTAATGTCCACTTGAAATATCAAGTTCTACAAAAATATTGAAGACAATAATTGTTTATTTCATTTTTTTTTTTGGTTTATATTGATTGAAAAAAGACGTAAACAATTGTAGTTAGTTTCAGTTCCATGCACCTTAAACAAACAATTTACATACAAAGCAAGAGTTTCCAGATAAACATTAACCATCTCTATGTGAAAAATACGTGCTCTTGCACTTATGATGGTTGTTAATTTAAAAATAGTTTAAAAGCATTTTTTCAATAGATAAAAAAAAAATATTTCAGATCTTGAAACATTTTTTAAAATCAAATTTTGAATGCATTATAGATACTTTAGTTATAATTGGCTCCGATAGCAACAAAAATACAAAAATTCAATCGCACTAAATCGAGATTATAATTCAGTTTTTTCATGTTTGGGACTTTTTATTCTATAATTGATTGATTGCTGTTTGCTTAACATCGAGTACACATATCTCATGCATATTCAAGACGAGAACAAATTAACAATAGATCCAATAGGTACGTTCTACCAAGTGGATCTTCCGGCAATAAGTGAGGAGATTTCGACTGCTACTGGCAAATCGGAAATGGAAAGGGGGGGGGGGGTTGTTTGATAATGCAGACATTTTCTGTCATCCCTCAAAGAGTTACGAGTTTAGAAGACAGCCATATCCCTACACGAGAAAACAAATTTCAGTTTCACATTCCGACCGGACGGCCCTCTTAAACATAAGAGATATCTTCAAGTTAATCCTATGATATTTCCTCAAGGTTTTATCATACCGCTCAGATCATCTTAAAATTTTGTATAACTGCTTTGCGATGATAACAAGACTTGAATCGATAAGATAGTTTACAATCCAGAGATTTAAACGATTGGATAACATCAAGTTTCACCTAAGGGAATAATTGAAAGACGTCAAAACATTAAAAAGTCCAAAAAGTTAAGAAGAAGTGTTTAATAAAAATCAGTGAAATAGCAATGATTTTATGCATTTATAAAAATCAGGAGATAGTTGTCTTTGAGTTTATGCCTATTAAACCATTGCTGTGTTCTCAGTTCCTGTATTAAATGTGTTTTTTTTTCATATTCACATGTTTGTTGACATCATTGTTTAAAATTGGATTAGATAACTTACTCACTTCTTTTCTCGAATGGAGTTGGTTTATCACTTTCATTTGAAATGTTAATCTGTCTGGAATAAGGTTCGAGTTAATCATAAGCCTGGTATCTTTGATGAATTTATGATACTATTTGGTCAATACCACTTCTTGTGGATGTTTCTCCTCTAAAGTATCACCAGACCAGTGGCCAATGTTCCGTCGCGTACTTGAAATATAGATGTTGTCATTGTATGCAAACTTTCAATATACAGAATGTTAAATTCTTTTGAAATAAGAAGGTTTCCTTTCCTTCTTCCTTAATAAAGATGGCCTTAAATCAAATTTGGCACAACTTTTTGTAATTTTATTTTCAATGCTCCTCAACTTGGCAATTAAAAGTGATTCGAGTTGATACAACTGCTGGTGGACATTTCGAGGGAGGAGGGGTTATATACCAGCTCAGTAATTAATACTCAGGTTGGACATGAAATATTTTGAATTCGGTCATTTTCTGTTAAATTTCTGTTCACATAAGGTTAAAATCTTTTGAATTATTCAGTTGTAATTACCTGTAGCGATAGATGGCGTGAGCCAGATTTTGCAGTATATCGACATTGGTGTTTCGCCACTAATGAGTCTAATGTCTGGCGTTTTTATTATTTTTGATGAATTTTCAAAGATTGAAAACTGTTTCACCTTTTTCGGTAGTTATGATCCTGAATATCATTTTTAATTTGCCCTTCCAATTGTTCTGATTTGAGCGTCATTTATGTGTATAATGTAAACAAAACGCACGTTTAACGTTCCAGATTATTATAAGTCTGGTATCTTTGGTGAGTTTTTACAACCACTGGTTCGACACAACTGTTGGTGGATATTTTGTCCACGAGGAAATCACTCATGACATAATATCATTGATATTTTCTGTAAATTCACTGTTCATAAAATGTTGAATTATTCGAACACTAAAGTTTCGTTACCCCAGGCATAGTTTGACTCAGCCGTATTTGGCACAACGTTTCGGAATTTAACTGTTTTGATTTGAGCGTCACCGGTGGGTCTTTTGTAGACGAAACGCTCTTCTGACGTACCAGATTCTAATCCTGTTATTTTTGTTGAGTGTTTACCTTCTCGACTACCAATTAGTTGCAATAAAAAAAACCTGTTGTGAAAATACCTTATACCTTACTGTAAATAAAGGCAACAGTAGTATACCGCTGTTCAATAGTCATAAATTGATTAAGCGAAAAAATTGAGCGTTAGTAGACTTTACATTTTCAAATTACGCATCGCAAACAATGTATTTTTTTAAAAACTCAAGTCGGTGTCCAGTATGTAAAGATATCAATTGTAGATAAGCGGCAATAGTAGTATACATATGTTCTTATCAGATAGTAGAGTTGTATTCATACACATTTAGAGATATACATGTACATGAAAAGACGTCTGAGCAATGTCACAACCGAAAGAGTTTTTTCTTTTTTGTTCTTTAGGTTTTTTTTCTGTTTTTTGTTTTGTTTAACCCAAGCTTCATTACATGAGAATAACACTAGATCAATCTATTTAAAATATAGATCTCGGATTTCGTTATACTACGTTATACTACATACGAGGTATGTAGTATAACGTAGTATAACGAAATCCGAGATCTATATTTTAATTAGATTGAAGTATGTAGTATAACGTAGTATAACGAAATCCGAGATCTATATTTTAATTAGATTGAACTAAAATATAGATCTCGGATTTCGTTATACTACGTTATACTACATACGAGGTATGTAGTATAACGTAGTATAACGAAATCCGAGATCTATATTTTAATTAGATTGAACACTAGATATAAAGTAGTTCGTCCGAAACGACTTTCTGGATTTACCTTCATCAGGAACGCCCTAAACCAAAAAAAAAAAAGAAAAGCCATGGATGTATAAATCTTGAAAACGTGAGGAGCAATATGTCCAAAAAAGGATAAAAAAAAGAATAGCAAAATGCAGCTAAGGTCAACTTTGCCTCAGTGTATTTGAACCTTAGTTTGTAATTCTGCTTAATTCATCAACGACGAATGTAAGAAAAAAATAATATAATTCATGTCGGTACCGAAGCCCTGACTACTGAGCTGATGATACCCTTTGGGCTAACAGTAAATCCAGTGCTTGTAAATGAAAATAACAATTTCGTCCGCCCGAAGGGCTTAGCTGGATTTACCTTCATCAGGAACGCTCAACCCTACCCCCCCCCCCAAAACAAAATAAAAAAAATAAAGCCAAGTATGTATAAGACCTGTAAATGTGAGGAGCGATATAATCGAAAGGAGACATTAAGAGAATAGGCAAGTTCATGTAAGGTCACATTGGCTTGGGGGAAATGAAATCTTTGTTTTGAGTTATTTTGAAGACGTACTCCAAATTAGTAAAATATCTGAAATACTCAAGAAAACCCAAAATCTGTGCGCTTGATATTTCTCGTACTAAAATATGAGACGAAAGATACCAAGGGGACATTCAAAGGTCAGATGTAGAAGAGAATGACAACGCCATGGCAAAAGACGAAAAGACAAGTCCACAAAACACTATATAGAAAACTAAAGAATGGGCAACACTAAACTCACCAAAAACTTTGGGTGATCCTAGTTGCTGCGGATGGGTTAGAAGATCCGCTTCTACTAGTGGCAAGCGTCATGTTGCTCTGTATAACAACATATTCCGTGAAAAGTTTCAATCGGTGGTAAACACAATCAAGGAAAAGAGGATATCGTATCTAAATTCATGATGATAATAATTCAAGGTAATGAGTATATTAATCTAAGGTTTGGTTAAATCATCAATAGCCAGTTTATTTTTTCAAAAAAGTTATTTCACATTGTGAAATTAAAAAAAAATCTATGCAATGTAAGTATTGGATCGCTATGTATTTGGGATCTGGCCATACCTTACAATTGAATACCTCAAAATATGTTTATTGAAAATCTTTCATATTTATGACATATTCGATTGTTTTTATTCTAATTTAAAAATTTTAATTTTAAAGTAGAACATTATGAAATAAAGATTTGTTTTACCGGTATACTACTGTTGCCTTTATTTATGTGAATTTTGAACATGGTAATACTAGGTAGGTTACTGTTTAAAATATCCAATATACTAGATAGTAATTAAAATTTATATCAAGACATTGCTAAAATGATTGAATTGTACATCACAAATCTTTCAACAGAAGTTAGAAAATTGATTTAAGATATCTAACTAAGTTACTTCTATCA